GTTTATGACTGGAAAAATGCGGATTTTCATAGTATTATATATGAAATGTCTTTAATTCCATGGCAAAATATTTCTGAAGGCTTAAATACTGAAGAATCCTGGAAATTTCTTAAAGACAATTTAAATGATTTAACCGAAAAATATGTGCCAAAAAAACTCCGTCGTCAAAACTTCAAACCCATCTGGATGAAACCAAATGTGATGCGTTTAATTAGAAAAAAACAAAGACTCTATAACCATTATAAAACCACAAAGGATCACAAATCTTTTCTTGAATATAAAGAAATTGAAAAATCAGTGAAAAATGCAGTGAGAAATGCTAAAAAAAACTTTGAAAAACAGCTTGCAAAGAAATCTCGCCGTCATAACAAATCATTTTATTCTTACGTGCAGAATAAAACCAAAATTAAATCTAATGTTGGTCCACTTCTGAAGCAAAATGGAGAAATAACAAGTGACGACATTGAAATGACTGAAATTCTTAATACATATTTCAGCAGTGTTTTTTCAGCAGAGGGGGACGGTCCCATCCCAACCCTGTCGAGGCTGCCAAGTGAAGAAACTCTGTCGACTACTTTTTTTGATGAGTCTGATATTATTGAGAAGATTGACAAGATGAAACCTACAACTTCTCCTGGAACTGACGGTATCACTTCTACAATACTCAAGGAATTAAAAAACATTATTTGTAAACCTTTAGCCATAGTTTTTAACAAATCCTTGAATGAAGGCTACGTCCCTGAGGACTGGAGACTAGCCAATGTGACCCCAATTTTTAAGAAAGGTGTTAAATGTAAACCTGAAAACTATCGTCCGATCTCATTAACTTCCCTTGTCTGTAAAACCATGGAGTCCCTCTTACGGGATAAAATTGTCGACCATTTACAGAAAAATAATCTTATTAACCCCAGTCAACATGGTTTTATGAAGCAGAAGTCCTGCCTTACTAACTTATTGGAGTTTCTGGAGGTCATAACCAGCCTGCAGGATGAAGGTCACTCCATGGACATTATATATTTAGATTTCTCAAAGGCTTTTGACAAAGTGCCTAAAAACAGATTGCTTGAGGAACTTAAAGCCCATAGTATAAATGGCGATATTTTGAGATGGATCGAAGCTTGGCTTTCAAACAGGGGGCAAAGAGTAGTTTTGAATGGCCAATATTCAGAATGGAAACCTGTCTTAAGTGGTGTTCCCCAGGGATCGGTGCTTGGTCCGATCCTTTTTATCATCTATATTAATGACATTGACTTTCTTTGTGCACATATTTCCGTGTTAAAAAAATTTGCTGATGATACAAAACTTGCCCAAAAAATGTTAAACGAAAGTGACAAAAATATATTACAAAACTGTCTTAAATAGCAGATACATCCAATAGGATTACAAGAATGTCAGAAAATCCTCTTTCACTTAGTGCAAAATTTTGTAAAACCGATATTCGTAAACATTTTTTTAGCCAGAGAGTTGTTTCCCCATGGAATGATTTACCCTGTGATATAAAAACTGCACCAACGTTAAATACTTTTAAATCCAGATATGATGAATATGTAAAAAATTTCTAATCTAGTTAATTTTGTTGGGACAAAAGGAGCCGAAAAAAGATTACTTTAAAAGAAAACAGAAAGGCCAAATAAGAAAAAAAAATAATCTATGAAAAAAAAATTTTAAAAAAAAACGTCAAAAAAGAAAAAAAAGAAAAATGTCAAGGAAGAGAAAAAATAAAAACTCTACCAAAAGAAAAAAAAATAAATGTCCCTTATTTTTAATTTTTATTTTTAATCTTGATTCACTGGATATTCGAAATTATTGAATATAATATACTCTGTATATTAATATGATATATGCAACCATATGAATATCATGACAACAATCGGAAATTTTCTTATATACTCCGCCAGGAGTCCTGAAAATAATCCTAACATAAACATAAACATAAACCTTTATTTTCGGTCATCTAGAAAAATCCAATTCCTCTTAGTCAATTTCAGTTAAAAATAACTAATCCTCAGGATAAATGCTGTTCAGAGCTATACTACTTCACTAAGTGGATGTGGACGCGCAGAGGAACCCCATCAAGAACACCGCAGTGGAGAAGAGAGTCACCGAAAATCAGAAGAACTTCATCATAATTCTTTTTAAAGTTATTTTTCGACTTAAGAGACTTCTGTTTTTGTCTAGCTACTTACCTTATCCCTTGAAATCGTGTCGGCATTTTGATAGTTTAAGTTAGTCAATCGTTATATGTAAGTATTCATTATCCGACTTACAGGCTTAATTTCTTCAGTTTTAATGAAAATTCCGTCGATTTGGACGATGAACGAACTTGAAATCTCAAGATGCCGGCACAATTATCAAAGTTTAAGGTAATAGCTCGACATTAAGCTAAGCTAAAATAAATTTAAGCCTAGAAGTAAAAAAATTCAAACTTGTAACGTATAGAAACTTTTGAGTGTGAATTGATGAAAATTGTCAGACGAATTAGTCGATTCTGACATGGTCACTTAAAGTCTCTAGGTCAAAAAATGACAACTTACAACGTTTACCAACTTTTAAGTGTGAATAATGAAAATGTAAGGAAAAATTCGTCGATTTTGACGATGGACGAACTTGAGATCTCAAAATGCAAGCCCTGTATTCAAAGGATACGGTAATACAAATACAAAAACTGAAAAATTATGTATCTCAGTTGAAAAATGACAACTTACATAGTATACCGACTTTTGAGTGTGATGAGAATTTTCCGACGAATTCGTCGATTTAAACGATAAACGAATTTGAATTATAAAAATGCCAACACTCTCCTCAAGTAGCTAGACAAAAACAGAGAAATTAAGTCTCTAAGTAGAAAAAAAGAATTTACAAAGGTTAAGGTAAGTAACTGGACAAAAAAAAACAAGTTATAAGTAAAAATAAATTGATGATGAAGTTCTTGACATGTTGATTTTCTGAGGCTCTCTTCTCCACTGCGGTGTTCTTGATGGGGTTCCTCTGCGTGTCCACATCCACATAGTAAGCAGGATATCTCAGGCATTTTTCCTGTTCGATTAGTATTTCTTAATTGAAATTGTCGATGAGGAATTGGATTTTTCAAGATGACCGGAAATAAATTAGCTCAAAATCGTTCGACCAGCAAAGATAGAATTTGTGGATGAATCATACGATCTATATTGGGGGGTGGGCGATCCAATCCTATGATTTTCGGCGACGTAAAGTCCCAAAAATACATAGATTCTTTTTACAAAAATGGGGTCCGTCCTAGTAATTGTATTACCTTATAGTTAAATCACTGTAAGTTATGAGACAACAATTAAGAGCCAATAGAGCAAGTATTTACTATGAGTTTGATTACATCCTGAGGAGCAGGAATTTGGAAACTGATGTCGAAACTTGCATTGATTATTTAGTTTATGAAATCTGCATTCAGCGGTCTCTATGCAGACTTTTTACGGCTTCAGTCGTCTTCGATTTCAGGTTAAATCAACTAAGAACTAAGAAAAATGGTGAGGATGGTGTATTTTTTTACCTACAGGGTGTCCCACGAAACATGACAGTATGCAGGACGACTTAAATGTCGTCTTGATTTTTTTATATAATTTGCTGTGTTTATTTGTCAACCTAAGTTTAGAAGTAAATTTCTAGAGATAATAATCACAAAATTCCCCTAGTCCTGCCATTTCCAAAATGTGGTCTGCCTTTTTTGTGCTTTCAATATTGCCCGAGATATGAAGAATTTCGTTCAGATTTCGACAATTTTGCTTTTATTTAACAAAATTGAAATCTGAACCAAACTCTTTATATCTCCGGTAATATTGAAAGCACAAAAAACGCAGACCACATTTTGGAAATGCCAGGGCTAGGAGAATTATGTGATAATTGTTTCAAGAATCCTACATGTTAAAGTAGATAGAAGACTAAATGTCACAAATAAATTTAAATATCAAAGACGACTTTCAAGTCGTCTTCCTATTGTCATGTTTCGTGGGACACCCTGTACATCAAATCCGCTTTACTACACTTCCGACCTACAAGCTCGTGGTTTACCAGCTCCTATATGCACTTGTGGCGACAGCGCCAGGCCCCCTAGCCGCAGCGCTCGGCCCAGAAAATGGCTTAACCTAATCTAACCCTTAAATAATACAAAAATGAACAGCATGGTTATAGGTCCGATATTGCATGTAGTTCGGAAAGTTAGTAGGTCAGAAGTTCAGTAGGGGGGATGTTGCGTAAAGACGATGTAACATTACCATGAAGAATCGCAGCTGAAATAAGGGCCAAGGGTGCCAAGGGGCCAAGGGGGCGCTCTTAGGTCCTTATAAAAGAGGACAAGAGTGCAGATCCCTGACGGAATTCGTACCCTCCTAATTCTAGGGGTAATTGCTTTATTTTTATGGTCACCAGAAACAAACGTTTCTTTCTTTCTTTTCTCAGGGGTTGCTTAAAACCGCCCCCCCCCCCCCTTTCAGCCCTGGATGATTTTTATGCCGAGGGAGTTGGCTTCTAAATCCCTTTCCTCAATTTTGAATAATACATTTTTAAAATATCGACATCGAAGCCGATTTACTGTTGAGACTTAATTAAACACCAAAATAAATTAAAAGTCAACCTACTCAGTTAACATCCAAGCTTAGAACATTTCCGAATTTCCTAATCAATATTTGAGACAAATCGGTCAAGGCCGGTTCTTGAGTCAGACAATCCAACTACCTACCCTACATAGTACATAATAATCGTTTTTTTTCTTTTCATGACTTTCAAGTAGTCAAGAAATGTGTTTTTGGCTTAACTCGGGTCAATTTTCAATATTTTCCAATTCGATAAATTGACGAGAATTCGAATATTCAACCTAGTACCAATAATAGCCAAATTGATAAACTTTATTTTACCTTGTTAAACTTGGCGACTTTTTTCACATTATATACAGGGTAACCCACAAAAAATAAGACTTAAGAGACGACTGTACAGAATTTATATTTTCTATTTCCTTAAATTTAGGATTCTCTACAACTAAAAAATAGTTTTATACGTTGCCATGTCAATCAATAGGCCATTACATTACATGAGAATAAGTTCCAAATGGATTACAATTTTGCTTTGGTTAAACTTTAAGAAAAATATCTCTTGTTTACAAAGTAATTGTTTCTGTAACTATTGCAAAATATGTATACTTGCAATGTATCTAATTAGGTTATATAATGTAGAGCTGTATTTAAACTATCGAAAAAATTAATGTTTTTTTTAGAAAATAATTGAGACGATTTAGAGAAATATTTATTTCATGAATTCAAAATGTCCGCCATGATTATGGAAGCAGAGACGAGCACGGCTTTTCACACCAATGTGACACTTCTGGATAAGTTCAGGCTGGGAATTGAGATCATAAACGACTCTTGTAATCTTGGCTTTCAGCTCGTCGATGTTGGTGGGTCGAGGATGCTGGTAAACCTGCCTTTTCATCAGAGGCCAGATTGCAAAATCAGGAACCGACAAATCAGGCGAACGCGGTGCCCAGGAATGACCTGACCGGCCAAGCCGCTCAGCCCCTAGGGCTAAAACTCGACCCTGAAAGGTCTGGTCAAGCTAATCAAGGAATGCTGGCTGCCGATGAATATTGGCTCCATCTTGTTGGAAGGTGATGCCATCAAGAGTGCCATTATTCAACCCTTTCAGCTGTGGGATACAGACATTCCTAATATGGTCTTGGTACCCTACAGAATTGAGGATTCCTTCCACAAACTTCAACCCAAACAGCTGACCGCAGCAGGATCCGATCCAGACCATAACTTTTTCGGGAAACTTCTGGGTTTCATGCAGGAAGTTTTTAACAAGACCTCGCCACCCTGCTCCACCGTTCCTTCTTGATTTAATGTACCGCGTGCAGTTTCTTATGTTTACAGATCCATCTAAATAGGATAAAATAGGTAAATAACAGGCAATATTTTATGATCCAGGAAAAGAGGGTTAAATGTTTTAATGAAGAAAAAAACTAAACAAGAGTCATTCAGGAATAGATATTTATAACTGACTTCCCCCATTTTTAAAGAAATAATTTTGCTTAAAATCTCTACAAATGATAATTAAGATTATAAAGTGGTAAGAACCTGAAACTTTTGTGGTAAATAGTTGCAGAAAGGATAAAATAAGTAAAATTTTACAAATTAACATTTGAAAATTAGACATTTGAACAAGAGTAATATAATCACGTTAAAACCCGGCAAAAATATGGAAAGTTTACCTAAACAAAAACTGGCCTCGTCAGTAAAAGCAGTTTTTACCAACTCATCGTCCGGTAAATCTTTAAGATGTTCACACATCCGGAACCTTTTCTCCATGTCTCCAAGTTGTAGGTTAAGGTGTTGTGCCCTAATCAACCTAAAAAATTTACAGTTACTGCTGCCAGTTGATGAATAAAATAAGCTAAAAAATAAAAGGTTATTTCGTCATTTATTTTAATGAAAAAGAAAACTTGGGAAAAGATTTTTAAAGAAAAAAAGTTAATTGTAAATTTTTATTATGCATTAAAAATGTTAATTGGACTGTTAAGTAAGTGTAATTTCAAGTGACATGAAAAGATGACAATGACCGATTCACAACGGCTATGGTATCCTTGAAGCCTTTATCTGATCTATAATTCAGTTTTTAGGTTTAAACATGTTTAATTCTGATAATTGCTATATGTTTACCAGCAGTAAAAATGTGCAAGTCACTTTTGTACAGATACCACAATTGAAAATAATCAGTTTTCCAAATTATAAACATTGATATCTAATTCATATTTGATCAGACAAAGTTTTTAAGGATACCCTTTAACTACTTTGTTTATTATGACACTTGTTCTTAAGAACTTGTTTGAAAACACTAGAATAAAACTATTTCTGATCAAGCTCTAGAAAAATGTAGATAGCTATAATACTATTTTTTTTTATGTTTTCCAACATTTTCTGGACACTACCCCACCCCCTCCCCCCTTCAGGTTTTACATAGATTCAGACCCAGTCTTTTTAGGGTTAACAAAGCTAATTAATAAATAGTATTTTATTTTGACATACAAGTTTTACCTGTAACAAGTAAAATTCAGGTCATTTCTTAAAATTCTGTTCCAGGTCGACTTGGAGAGGTTGAGTTCGTTTCTCCTACTGGTGTTTGGTGGTCTATCATACTCAACCCTACAGTCCCTGGTCACCACATTCTCCACCTGCCTCACCACCACATCCGTCCTTGCTGTCCTCCTAGGTCCACTGTTACCCTTGTGAAGGTTTTCAACTGTATATTTAGTTTCAAATTTATCCACAAGCCGATATATTGTTCTTTCACTGGGAACTTTTTGACCAGGGAATTCCCTGGCAAAATTTATCCTCACTCTTTCAACTCTATTCGGAAAATTAGTTAAAGTTTTAAACAGATTCACAATAAAAACTTTTTCTCGGATAAGAAATCTTGTTTGTCTAGCTGCCATGCTGCAAGTGAAGAAACCATGCTTTCAAATTTTGAGTATTGTTGTACGTTATAAATGTACTGTAAATACCCAGTGTATTTCGATTTCATATTTGTTGATGGAGCCTTTTTAAATTAAAATATCTGTCAATCCAAAATATATTTTAATTGTTTTGAAATCAACTTTCCTCTAGTATAAATGCCGCGTAATGTTTTATAATATGTTTTATGGTATCACACAACTTAACAATTATATGGAAGAAGACATTCACAATCATACATTAATTGTCATGTTTCGTGGGACACCCTGTACATTAGTACATATATATACTATATATATATATTAGTATATATATCAGAGCTGGGAACTTTGAATGGTAGATATATATCGGGATCAATGCTTGATCCACTCTTTTTCTAATCTCAAAGTTAAAATATGCTTGTTGTCTTCTTGTGTTTAATCTCCAGATTAATCAAACGATCGGGATTAAGAATATCCCATTCTAAAGATTTCAGCTCAGGACGATTCTCGCCCATCTTCAAAGTTAAACAATATATCTCGGAAATAAATGTCGAAAATCATTAACCAAGAAAATAAGCTTTTATGAAGAAAAAAAATTCCCCAACATTACGATTAAAAATGGCCACTTTCAAAGCAACAGTATTTAAGCAACTAAAATCCACATTAAACCTTCTGCGAACACATTATAACTAAAACTTTGCAATCTTCAGAAAACTGATTCAATATTTTCGAAATTTCAGAGAAATAACAAGGTAAGCATTTAATGTTAAATTCTAGACCCTTTACTTTATCCTGTAAACCTAGAACTAACCATGATGTGAAATAACAAGGTAAGCATTCAATGTTAAATTCTAGACCCTTTACTTTATCCGGTAAATCCTAGAACTAACCATGATGTGAAATAACAAGGTAAGCATTCAATGTTAAATTCTAGACCCTTTACTTTATCCTGTAAACCTAGAACTAACCATGATGTAAAATACAAAGCATCCTATATGAGATCACATTTTTACCAAGCTTTAAGGCAAAAAGAACAAATTGTAAAAGAATTGTATTATTTGCGTGCAAATTAACCCTCATATATTTATAATAATTCCATTTTGTAAGATTTGCTTTTGCATCGCAAAACTGATGAATTAAAGACCAAAGTTTAATTAAAAATTCAACAGATAATTCAAATTAAAAATAAGGTTACAAAAATATATTCTGAAAAAATGACAATTTTTTGTTTTTGCTCAACGGAACTTGACTCCTTTCTTGACACGTGCATTGATCCCGGATAATTCACCAGCATATCTTGTTGTCTCGGTCCGGACCTAAATAAAATTGGATATCAACTGGATAAATAATTTTACCCCTTTTTGATACTACCATTGTCCAATGTCCATAACCAATTAATTTTCCCTTTAACAATTATTAACTTCGCTTCAAATAAATAAATACCTATTTAAAATGATTCATTTTTCTTTTAAAATATCTTTTTTCCCTATAGAATGATTTTTTCCCTTAAAAATCATTCACTTTGCATTTAAAATAATTTATTTTTCCCAATTCAACAATGACTCTTAAAAATATATTCAACCATTCCTACAACAAGAGGGGGGGGGGAGGGGGTGAAGGCGACCACAGTATACATAAAACATAATTAAAGTGACCCTCCATTTCAAGTTGCTTGGCAGCATTTCAGCAAAAGATACCAAATAGCTTATCACAGACACAAATTCAATATTTATCCCAATTTACTCTTTCAAATATAGTTTATGTGGAAAAAATATCTAAAGTAAATCTTATTAAATAAGTTGATTTTTGTTTTTTTAAGTTATAATTTACCTCTCTAACTGCTCCTTTTCTTCTCTTCTTAGCTTTCTCGAATTTAACTCTATTCTTGACTCTAGGATTCCGCTGTAGTTTATTCCTTTTAGGCATCAAACCCTAGAAACAATATTATAAATTTTTACCATTTCGAAGGAAGGCGTCTCCCCCCCCCCATAGGGTATTTTTTAAAGCCCAAAAATTCTATTATTAACCCATTACTATCATTTCTTTCCCCACCGCGATTAAAAAAACACAAAACTTTCAAACTTTAGAGAAAAATAATTTTTTAATAATTTTCTTAATGAAAAAATCAGATTACAACTAGCTGCATCAATCTATATTTTTTTTTGTAATCTTACCTTGTTCTTGGCAATCTTGTAAGTAATTCCTCGTCGCTCAGCTTCCTCTGGATCATCCAGTTCAACATCATCATTGTGATGAACCCTCTCATCATCATTCTCACCATCATTCTCACCATCATTCTCATCATCCTTCTCCTCAACCTCACTCCCATCTTCATCCTCCTTTTCCGAGTTGGTCTCCTCGTCGTCGAGGTCCGTCTTGTTCCTCTTGATGGCCTTGTACATCTCTACCGCCATCCTCTCGTCTCCTGTTAGATCTTCTCGTTTATCCATTTTTCTCTTCTTACTCTTCTTCTCTTCAATGACAGGCTCCACAACCTGGAAAATTATTATAATTGTAAAAAAATAATTTAAATCTTAATCTTTATGTATAAAGTTGTAATCTCTGCTTGTTTAATTTGTGTCCGATCATAACTTAGGAACCTAATTACCTCTTTGAGATTCTAAGTTGAGTGGTCGACTTTTAAAGGGTAAAATAGCTAAAATCGAAATTTAAAACCAAGCGCGAACAATCGGCAGGAGTAACTATGAGTAACTGGGCAACGCTGGGTTCCCAGGCTAGTAATAATAATTTAATTTTCAGGGACTGAAATGTTATTTTATGTGAGCCACAAATGAGGAGTTGCATGTTCGACTAAGATCGATACCCTTTACACCTGAATCCGAGCAACAATATAGAAGATATTGTCGTCTTTCTCTCTATAAATTAAAGTGTTGGTTTGATTGATTTCCGTATTTTTTAATGATGTTCCTTTTACAGAGAAACCGCAGTTAAAAATTGAAAATTTTCAGCTAGAAAAACAAAGATAACTTTAGCATTTTGATCAGAAGCAGGTTTTAAGGGTAACATTGTGATCGGGAATGGAACTTTTGAATCTCAAAAACACAACACAGAAGATAAACTTACAAAACGAAAATCCTGAAAAAAGTGTTGGAAATTTTGCTGAATTTTTACATGGACAGAGTCTAAAACTGAATGCGCGAATTTTAAGTTCTAGGTTAAAAGTTCTGTAAAATAATGAGTAGCTACATAAATATTAAACTTTCTCAATTTTAAATTTGATTTTCCCGGGAAAATCTGAACCAATCAGAGAAAAGGATTTACGGAGAATATTACATAACCATCGCTAATCAGCTGTTCTTACGTAACCGAAAACAAAACGTACAACCGTTTTTTGGGTTTACATCCAAAAATTAATTTATCTAAAACGTGAAATTTCTTTAACAAGGTTTTCACTTTTAAATATATCCAGGGTGGCCAAAACTTTTTTGAACCCATCCGTACAAAAATCCGTACATTTTCAGAAGAAATCCGTACAATCCGTACAATTTTCGAAAAACAATCCGTACAATCCGTACAATTTTTTTTTTTTTAAATCCGTACAATCCGTACATTTTTTTAAAGATCCGTACATTTTTTTTAAAAATTTGTACAATCAGCACAATTTTCGAAAAAAATCCCATTTTTGAAAAAAAAACATTAAAATTCAATTTTTCATTCATTGTCTTTTGTGTTCAGTTCATGTAAGAGGGTTTAAACTTCTTCAGCAAGAATCAATCTGTAAAAAATTGGCTTCATACATATATACAAACTAAATACTGGGTACATGATACTAGGTGCATGATACTGGATACTGGATACATGATACAGGGTACATGATACAGGATACAGGATAC